TCATACGACGAATGTAATACCAGCCAAATAATGTCCAAGCGTGAGGTGAGGATTACGACGATTCGTCGGTCCGAATTTAAATTATTGGACAAAATTTGGCTAAGATCGGCGTTAGATTCTTGCAAATATCAATTAGAAAATTTAAAATTGTAGTATTCTTGCAAATATTTTTATGCTCGCATCAATATTGCATTAACTTTATTTTATATTCCTACAATTAGTATTATTTTACATTATTAGGTATAACAAAGATATGTTTCTCTTTTATTTTGTGTGTGCGTGCGTGTGTGTGGTGGGGGGGGGGGGGGAGGGGGCTATTTAAATTTGCAATGGAAACTCCGCTTTAAGGTTCGATAAACATCGATCGATATTGAATCTCCAACTTCGCGTACCTCGTGTGGTCGCACGTGTTTCTGTCAGCATTTTGAAACGTAAATTGGCGGTGCTGGAAAAATGGGTAAAGCGAAGAAGCTGAAGGTGTCCAAAGGCGAGACCAAGGAGAAGATAGGCTTGGCGGAGCAGATAGAACGTGAGAAAGCGGTGAAGGTGAAAAACAGGCGGAAAGTCAGATGCCGGGCCGACGAGGAGGAAGAGGTTAGCTCTCGCATTTACTTCCTTCGTCGTATTTTTACTTCTTATTTACCGAAACCGAAATAGAGGTAATCGAGTTCCCTGCGAGAAACGCGCTTAAAGTATTTTTTCGCACATTTCGTATCTTAATTGTAATTTACACGAATACATTCTGTTCTAGTACGTGGCGCCGACTCTGACGAAGAAGATCTTGTCGCAAGCCAGGCAGCAGCAGCTAGAGATCGAGGACGAGATCGGCCCCAGTGATTCCAAGCGCGCGAGGAGGCCGACGGTGAAACTCGGCTCCGGCCTCAGCGACGAGGATCGCTCCAGCGACGACGAGGAGCCGGTGGAGGAAGTGTACTATTACGAGAACATCGAGATCGACGAGGACGATGAGCGGGCGCTGCGGATGTTCATGTCGAAGGACCCGGCGCCGACCAGGACGCTGGCCGACATAATAATGGAGAAGCTGACGGAGAAGAAGACCGAGATTGAGACACAGTTCTCCGACGCCGGGACGATTCAGCTGCAGGATCTGGACCCGCGGGTGAAGGCGATGTACGAGGGCGTCCGAGACGTCCTGGCCAAGTATCGTAGCGGCAAGCTGCCCAAGGCCTTCAAGGTCGTGCCCAGCCTGAAAAACTGGGAGCAGATATTATACATTACGGACCCGCCCAGGTGGACCGCCGCCGCCATGTACCAGGCGACGAGGATATTCGCGTCGAACCTGAAGGAGAAAATGGCCCAGAGGTTCTACAACCTGGTTCTGCTGCCGCGCATCAGGGACGATCTGATGGAGTACAAAAGATTGAATTTTCACCTGTACCAGGCGCTGAGGAAAGCGCTGTACAAGCCGGCCGGATTTATGAAGGGATTCCTCCTGCCGCTCTTGGAATCGGGAACGTGCACCCTCAGAGAGGCCGTCATCGTCGGCTCTGTAATTGCGAAGAACTCTATACCGATCTTACACTCCTCGGCGGCTATACTGAAGATCGCCGAGATGGAATACACGGGCGCCAACAGCATCTTCCTCAGGATATTTTTGGACAAGAAATACGCGCTTCCGTACAGAGTGGTGGACGGGGTAGTGTTCCACTTTCTTAGGTAAGATATTTAACGGCGAAATGAATTTCAAGCGAAAATTGTCAAGAATCCTGTTTACAATGCGTGTAATTAATTAGGTTCGAAAGAGACCGGAGAGAGTTGCCAGTGCTGTGGCATCAGGCCATGTTGACTTTCGTGCAACGATACAAGAGCGATATCAGTTCCGAACAAAAGGATGCCTTGCTGGGATTACTGAGGAAACAGTCACACCATTCGATCACTCCCGAAGTTAGAAGGGAATTGCAACACGCGAAATGTAGAGACGTAGAAGTTACAGAACCTAAACCAGAACCAATGGATGTTAAAGATACATGATGCAGCATATTTATATCAAAACAGTTAATATCTGCAATTGTAATTATGGTAGATAAGATTTTGGAAAAGATTATAACTGGAACATTATGAACAAGTTAGGCGATTTATAACAAGACTCGAGTTGCTGTGTAAAAATACATCTATATTTGGTCCTATTTTTAAATGCATTAGATCAATATTTGTATTTTTACAATTTTTATACGCAAAAAAAAAAGAAAAACGTACGGTACAAGATAATGCAAACAGTAGTCGCATTAAAAATCGCATTCACACAGTTACACAAGTTATAAATATCTTAAATATATTATGATACTCTCGCAATACATACACGCATACACACATACGCGCGCGCTCGGGCATTCGTCTGAGTAGGAATTGCACCTCCAACTTAATAATAATTTTACAAACATAAATAGGCACAGCGCAACTCGGAAAGCAACGAGCGATCCGCGATTCACTTAATCTAATATTATGCCGCGTATTCAGTTCTCTTGAATCAGACATTTATATCTCAGTTTTGTCTTTAGGACTAAGAACTTTCGAATCTTCTTGGTTCACGCCCGCGTACTCTGAATCTAGAGCAGCGTGCTGATCCATAGAGATCGTCTTCGTTATTCTCTGCCCGGACAAATAAATATTTGTGTTGATCAGAGGCACTTCAGTTGTACTCGGTTTAGTTACTTCTGTCTCCGATTCTATCTCCGCATCTGCTTTCTTCGAACTTTCCCGCAACTTCGAACAGGTCTCGGTGTCCGCATCGTCGGCATCGTTAACGAGAGATTTAGATTGCTCAAGTGGACGATCGCTGTTGACTTTTGTAACGTTCGCATTCATTTCTCCATCGACGTCTCTCTTCTCGCGTTCGTTATTCTCTAAAATATCCCGACGTATAACAAGAACCTCCTGTTCGCTCTTATTCAATGATGGTACCTTCACCTTGTCTAATTTCGATTGATTCGTCATTTTTAATGCTATGGGCACAGAATACTTGTTGTCGTACTTCCCTTGCAATTTGTCCGACGTGTTCGCAACCTCGTTTGTAAGAATTTCTCTCTTCTCTTCCTTCGCCTGACGATCATTCTCTCTAGCGAGTTCCTCTTCCATAACAGATCTTTGTAGAATTCCTTTCGATAATACGTTCAAGATGGGACCCTTCATATTTTTGGTATCGCTAAATTCTATCCTTTCTACTTTCGTCTCGTCTTGTGTATCTTTCTGTAACGATTTCTCCGGTGCCTCATCGATAGCTGCCTCTTTGACGAGAGGGATTTTATCTGGTGCATTTTCCGATATTTTCTGTAAATCCTCCGCATTCTTGTTTTGAGGAATTTCATGAAACGGATCCAATTTCTTCTCGCTATCTTCAACCGCGATATTCACGTTACTATTCTCCTCTCGAAGCTGCGGCTTTTCATCTAATTTGATCTTATCTGCGTCACTCAGTTCTTTTTCTTTCGGAACGTCTTTGTTACTCTTTGCGATAATAATCTCGTTACTTTCCACAGGTTTTTTATCGTTTTCTCCCACATTACCTTTGATCTCCGGTAAAACATTCTCCTTCACGTCAGTTTGTACCATTTCATTCTTCTTTAGTGTCTCGTCCTTCGCCATTCTCTGCTTCTCCCTCTCGAATTCTTGCTTTTGCTCCTTGATGTCCTTCAAAATTTCCTTTTGCTCCTGCATCATCTGACGTTGCTCCAACTTGTGCTTCTCCAATGTTTTCCTGAGTTGCTCGTGTCGTTCCGCAGCTCTGGCATTAGCGATGTCTCCGTCGGCCGCCAATTCAGACTCCTCCTTTTTTATAGCATCTAAATTAATGAGATTGTCGTTCTTCTGCAAGTCCATCGATTGCTCCTTCTGCTCGATTATCTTTATCTTCTCCTCCGCCTTCAAAGTAACAGATTCATCGACTTTAACATTGATATTTGTGACGACCTGCGACTGTGCGTTTAAATCATCGTTCTTGATCGGTTCAACTACATTTTTTATTTCTGGGACAAGAGAGCCTACTGCTATTTTATCAGACTTGTCGAGATTTGGCTTTTCGCTGACGACTATACGTTCAACTGGCACTGGCGGCTCTTGTCGAACGTCCTTCACTTTCAGATCTAACGGTTTATCGAGGATACTTATCTCAGGTAGTTGATTAATTTTGTCTGCAATATAACGTAAAATTAGGAGAGTAAAATATAACGGAGATAAGATAACCAAAGTTACAGAAATGAACTCGAACTTTGTACCTTTTGCTCTCGGAATAAGTTCCAGACTGTTGGGAATATTGGGAATGATATGCAAGTCGTCTTTGATTATGTTCAACGGTAAATTGTTGATCTGAATGAGCGGCTTATTGGTCACCGCTAATTTTACGTTTGTGGACTCCTCTATGGCGTACAAATTGGCGTACGTACCGAGGATCATGATCCAAACGCCGACGATTAAAATGCCCTGGATGTAAAACATGTACGCTGGTGTAAAAGGTCGGAAAGAGGACAATCGTAAAGCTGAGAGATTACCTGTGCCACTAATTTCTCATTAGTATTTTTGCTGCTTATAGATATAAAAAATACTGTCGGGAATATCACACAGATCATCACGCCGATCGTCGATCCCACGATACCGAGGACGAACTCTATGTTCGGCACCAAGATACCGATGACGAGGGAAATGCCGACTATCGCGATGGTCAGGCACCGAAACCTGGACTCTGGCAGATAATTGACAGACGGTTCGTGGGTGTACACCTAACGTAGCGGTAGAATATGAGTCAGGAGAGTTACAGCAATAATACGTGCCTCTCTGTCTGGAGCATACGTACCCGGCGAAACAAAAGGGAATTCAAGCTCGCACGACACGGAAATATGACTAGAGGGAAACTGAATGCGACCGAAAACACGAATCCCAGTTTAATCAGTTCGGACGTAATGCTGGGTTCGAAACTCAGTAAAATATTTCCTGCAACGTAACAATGTGAGCAATAGTAAAATAACATAGCGGGCGAATTGTAAGCTGTTGTAACGTACAGCAGCTCCATTGAATTACCTGTGAACGATTGGGTACAAAATGCAATGTAACCGAACAAGCCAACGCACATATATACAAGTGTACATATATTTAACGCCCCTCGTACAACGTCGTTCATCTTCTCTAAGGATACATTTGGAATGGTTTCGTATATCTCAAACAACTGCGTCTGACAGAACAGTGCCATGGAGAATATCGGCAGGCATTGGAGGATGCCGGCAGGCCTCCAGTAATTAACACTGTTAACCCAATCTCCCATGAAAATATGTAGGGTTGACTCGCCCATGATCTGCCGATTGGACAAGGTGTATTAATTAAGCGCTCTCGAGCGAGCATGACATTTTTACAAGTTAATTGTACCTTTAGCACAAATACCAAGTAATTAAGGAGCAACTGCCAAGACAGAATGTTAGGATCTAAATAATTTTAATTTTTCCGCCTAGTGAGAGGCAGGTCCACAGGTTCGAACCCTTGCTGAGGTATTGTTTTCCGCAATAGGACTCCAAATTATTTAGACACCAACGTCCTGTCTTGGCTCTTACACCTTTATAACTTGGTATTTGTGTTTTCACATCAGAGCCTTATGAATATTATCCGTTTATACCTTTAACACGAGACAGAGGTAGAAGACAATGGTAGCGGTGCAAATGCTGGACAGACTATCGATATTTCGCAGCAGCCCCAAGGGCAGGACTATGAAGACCCCGGTGAAGATGAGCAAGCTGGTGCGAATGTCCGCCGGGCTCTTGCTCATCATCTTGCTGATTATCTGCGGCCCTAGATCGCCGACGACGACGTAGTAGGCGATGCACGTGCCCAGCATGAAGCCAATGATGAACAGCTCCGCCAGGAACTTTCCCATGTGGCCGAACGCGTGGAAGGCGAGCAGCTCGAAGTTGCGCCGCCTCGATATCACGGCCGACTTGACGAGGAAGTGACAGGCCAGGCGCGACAGGGCGCTGCACAGGAGCAGTAGCAGGACGGCCAGCACGATGCCGCACTGTTTGAAGCAGAAGGGCATCGCCAGGACGCTCACGCCTATGATGCTATTAGCGAGGGTCATCACGTGCGACATTTGGGCGATCATTTTGAAGGTCCTGGCCCGACCCGCGTGGTAGCCTTGCCTTACCCGACGCGGTGCGACAGGCTCCCTGGAACTTCACATCTCGTCGAACCTCTGCAATCAGGAGTAACCCGTTAGTGTCAACGGGAGCCGTTCGGGGCGGCTGGTACTTAACTCGGCGGAACAAGTGTGCCTTACTAACGGAAAATGTTGCTCGCCGTTGTTCAGCGCGCGAACTAATTTCACACGCGAGTAACTGCGCATTAATCAAATCCCGCTTTCGCGTGGACGGGCGAGGTTAAACCCGGTCGTATGCAGATGCCACGCGGCAACTCATATCGGGTGCACTCGCACGAGTCGCGCTGACATCCTTATCAATTTTTCGGCACTACATCGTACGTACGTCATACTTTGGTGATAAATCGAATCGGCGGCAAGAAATTGTCGGGACGCTGGTCCCTCGACCGACCGCCGCCTCGTCATTCGGCTGATTCGGTGGGACGCACATTGCCCACACACACACACACACGTGCGCACGTGCGTGCGCGCGTGTCACATTCACATATGAAATATTATAATACATGGAGGAAAGTCCCTTGTCATGAGATAGATTCCTAATATGAGACAGCGGAGTTTCCGCCAGGCATCGTCTGTTGGTTCCACCGTGAATTAGTTGCCCTAAGAGTGAAGTCTGTTTAGTGGAAAATTGATTGTCCGATCGTGTAATCATCGCGAAAACGATTTCCGATTGAATTTGGACGGTGAAAACCTACTATAAGACTTTCCTCTATATACTGGAGCCCATAAATGATAATGCGGTGCAACAGGGAGCTTGATTATTTTTTAGCTCGAAACCAAGACTTTTATCGCCAGGGAATTGAATCTTAAGAATGGAAAGACGTAAATAATAATGGAAAGTGTATTCTGGATTGAAAATTAAAACTCCATTTCGAAAATATCTTTAGAGACCATTCGTAAGAATATTTCATTATCAGACTGACTTATTCGTATTGTTACTGAAAACAATTAATGAAACCTCAGATATCTCAGGGTCCTTCGGGGCTACGGGCTCTATTGAAATGTCAAAGACCAAGTGAAATCCCACAGAACTACATATATAGATTTCTTTATTTTTTTATTATAAATATTTAAAAACGTCCATATGTGTACTCTTATACGTGGACATTAAATATCTAATACTTGATCTATTTATATCTCGAATTGACGTACACGAGACATAACGCAATAATCCTTTTGAATTTGCCTTTGTGTGTGATATCAATCAATCGCATATTACAGATTATTACAAGTGAAATCGATCACGACCGCCGGTCTGGCCTGATTGAGTATCGCAAAGGAAAGTAAAAGGACAAATTTCTTATATACACAAAGTTGGAGATACACAATTATTGCTCTCGTAGGAGACTCTGGAGATAGAGAATGCAGTTTAGAGACAAATTTTTGGAAACCTTTGCTTTTTTTTTTGTACCAAGATCGACGCAGACTCGACACTTGGAATGACATCGCGATCTTGAATTCTTACGGATCGATCCAGACGTCACATTTATAATTTTTGTATTTTTATACCTATATATAAATTAAGATAAGTCTTGCCTAGTATACGTTTAAGATTCTACAATTACATTTGAAATTGATTACATAATTCCTCAACTGCCCTAGCTTTACCATACCTTCTTTCCGACTCATTTTCTCTCTTGCGTACATTACTCAAAAATATCAGGATATCCGTTCCTTTCTCAGACACTTCTTTGTTTATCTAGTCAGAATGTGGGAATTAACTTGTAACGGATGCAAGCTTTCAATTCTATCAAGCTGCAGATACTCCCTTAGCTTTTGCTCTCTAAAATATGTTACAAGCTAATAATGCTCACTGCAAGTCATGAGATAAACCCGAGCGGTAGAGCCAAAGGAACATTTGCTAATCTTTCGAGTAATGTAAGACATATTTTTTACACTTTTGCAAAGAACATTATGATTACAGTATTGTTATTGCATGCAAGGATTAATTTCCTTCGAGATTAATTTGCGTATTATGTACAAGAATAGGAAGCGAACGAATTCACCAACGTGCGATTTTTCGAAAGCCGTTGATTAAGGGGTGGTTCTATCCCTTCCTTAGTATAAACTGTGTAGTAGTTTCTATCTAGTGGTTCAATCAATCACGAATGGATAAGAAGACGTACGAAATTACGCCGATGGTGCAAACAAAATACATACGGCTGGCGTATGGTTTATACATGTATCATCCCATGTATTTCACGTGAGTTTGATTGCAGCATTCGGATGATATAATCTCATGAATATTCTAAATCAATCATCAATATTTTATGACCTAATTTTGGAATATTTGTAGCGCGTGTGTGTGTATGTGTAAAAATTCTTGAAATATTTACTATGAAATCCTGAAACACAGTCGCGACCTATTCATGAATGAACTATTGTACGAAAATTAAATTACAAGTCGAAGTTTACGCTATAAATGAATATGTTGTATAAAAAGAATTACCGTCAGACTTTTATAAAATTCTGACAAATTGATCGAAACACTGTTTCGCAAACGCGAATATTTTTCATTATTTTGTGCGGTACTTTCACCTTTCGAGAAAAAAAAGACATTTTAGAACACTCAGAGATACGCTTCGGAATTCCTAACGGTCTATGGTTAAAATTACAGGGAATTATAAGCTACACGATCATATGTGTCAATTTCAATGAGGTGACGCTCAACGAGTGAGTCCAATATTTCTAGACATCTAATAATTTCTCAAGATCCTTAATAAAAACATAATGATTTCGAATTACAGGGCGCGCGCGAGGTAGAGGCAGCATACACCTATGCACCGTGTGCTGCCATTATTTAAGTTATTCAAACTTATTCGTTACTTAATTTAAATAAAAACTTCTCCATTTCCTCAGATGCTCCGGGGCAATTGTCTATCAGGGATTCGCCCCGCCGTCTTTCTTAGTCTCCTCATTCGTTGGGTTTGCCTTCTCGTCCTTTTCATTTTCTAAATAACAGACTCCAACAATTATTACATTCTTTCTCCCTAACGTAATTTGACAAACAGCAACGTTTAGTTGCAATTTAATACCTTTTGGTTCCGTCTTTATATCTTCGTCTTTCTTCATATCAGTATCCATAGCTTCTTGACCTTTTTCCAAACGAGGACGCTTCCTAGATCCCTAGATTGACATGAAGAAGAGCGAGATAAGAATATCTACTTATATATCCGTACTTTTTCTAAATCTGTAGAATAATGTAATGTTAGATCATACCTTGTACGACCTATTGTCTCTTCGCCCGCCTTCGCCTTCGTCTTCACTATCACTATATTCGTTTTCATGTTGCATTCTTTTATCTAAATCGCGCTGAGGCAATCTGTCGTCCGGATTGACCTTTTCTTCAGCTTCCGAATCCTCAATAACCGCTCCGTCCTCTGGTATGGCTTGCACTTGCACGCCAGGGGCATGAGGCAACATTCTTAAATTTTCGAACAGCCTCGTTCTGTAAATAAACGCAATTACGAATTAAACTCACCTATAACGCGCACGCGAAACGAAACGTAGCAATGCAAGAATGCTTACTTAATTTTTTCCAGATATTCAGGAGTGTTTTGATTCGCCATGTTTGATGGACTAATATGTAATTTGAAGTCTGGGCCAAAATATTCGAAGTAATCATTATATGGAAGCTCATTAGCGATCTCGCATCCGAGAGCAACCGATGTTTCGTATGTCCAACATCTTGACACGTTTCTAATGGTGTAACCACCACCGCCAACCATCAGGAAAGGCAGATTATATTTTTTCACGAACTCCACGCATTTACCGTGACCCCTCACGGTTAAATTAAAGCATCCCAATCGATCGCCTGCACATTGGTTAGTATATATGTTAAAACTTCTGTCGATTTATTGACATAATAGCTTTTTTAAAAAGCCTTGCCTGTCAATGAATCAGCTCCACATTGTAGAACAACAGCAGAAGGCTGAAACGTCTCCATCACTTTCGAGATAATAGGAACAAAGATCGACTCATAGCTTTCATCGTCCATACCATCTCTCAAAGGTATGTTGACTGCATAGTATTTTCCCTGTTAGTAAACAGAAACCATGTATTTGTTAATTAATTCTTTTAGACGTACAGTATTATGAATAACGTTCTGAAATATTGTTACCTTGCCCGCCCCGATATCACGAAGATCTCCTGTCCCAGGAAAATATTCGCCGTACTTGTGGAACGAGACTGTCATTACTCTATCTGTCGTATAAAAAGCCTCTTCTACGCCGTCGCCGTGATGAACGTCAATGTCGATATACAAGACTCTCTGATGATACTTCAGTAATTCCAATATGCCAAGCACGATATCATTCACGTAGCAAAAGCCGGAGGCTTCGCTCTTCTTGGCGTGGTGTAAACCGCCGCCCCAATTAATGCAGATTTCAGAAGCCTGTTTATTAAGCTTTACGGCTGCTGCTACGGATCCGCCGGCTGATAATTGACAAAACTCGTACAAACCATCGAAAACGGGACAGTCTTCTCCTACATTAACTAAATGCAAAAGGAAAGAAGACTAATGAGTGTCTTTGACTTAGATATCACAGCTTATCCAGTTAACAATATCTTACATCGTTGCATTTGCTTGTTGTATTCCGACATGTTATCGGGCCTTATAGATCTCAGAAATCTAATGTACTCGTCGCTGTGGAATTTTGTCATCTCGTCTGCTGTGGCTTTATGAGGCCGCTAAATAATACAACGATAATTAGGTTACAATATACCACCGTGTTCGGTAGCGTATTAAAACAGTTGCGCCTCTCGTAAGATTAAGGCTGCATTCGGGGAGATGCTATTAGCACTGAAGGGTTCAATCTATGACTCACTGTATGTTGAATAAAGATAGAAGACGCTTTTAGCGCTAAAACGCGCACCCCGAACGCACCTTAAAACTCTCCAACAAGTACTTACGTATATCTCCATCTTTCTATAGAGACCATAGTTCAAAAGTAAATTGTGCGTCATCCTTATGCGATGCGGCTTCATGGGATGCCCCTGGCCATAATAGTAATTTCCGATGTCACCTAGGCAAATTGAGGGGACATGTGCATAAGTGGATCAACGTCGTGCTCAAAAGACGCGAAATAACTCGCTACCGTCGAGCGACGCCAGTCGGCTGGCGAACTACGATGTGCCGGAGCACACCTGAGAATCTCTCGCGATAACCTACGCAAAAACCGTATCATTTTCCACGTCGTTCACCGAAATACCGTTCTCAGGGGAGATTATCTTCGGCGAGGGTGAATTATAATCGGGAAATGACCTCTCGCGGTTCATATTAGTCAATAATCTCGTAAAATCCCGTCGTATTCCTCATAACCTAACCTATAGCTGTCTGAAGCTCGAGCTGTCCGTTTGGTCCTTTTCGTGACAAAACGTCGTCTCGCGCTTAAGAAGAGTTACAGTTTTAAGCGCGGTACGAATAATTATCGCCACATATGGCAACATATATTTGAAAATTCGCGTCTCGTGGAACGTCCAAGTTCCATCGGCGCGATCCCAATCCTACACGAAGGCCTGCCGAGGCATGGAAGTTGTTAGATTATCAGCTGCCGTCGTCAGGCATAGATAGATTACAAAGTTATTATTTGTAGTAAGAGATATTGATTTGATAACGTCGAAGGTGCTCAAGTATACGATGATTGTACATATATATAGCAATGGCCGACGCTCTTGCCCAAGCTTGCCCACGATCGCGCGAGGCCGCAGCTGAGAATCTGTCGTCTTAACGCCGCAAAAATCGTATTATCCACGTTGGGGCGCGTGCGAGTGACGCTGCAACGCGCTAGAACGATCGCGCCTCGACGGATATACCGTCGACAAGCCGCGGTTCGGCTGATACGCCGTCGGATGCCGAGCTGGAGCACGCGAGACAGACGCGGTAAGCGCGAACGGCGCAAACACATTCTACAAGCTTCTCCCCCCACGCGTGTGTGTGCGTGCGGCGTTTTTCGCGGGATCGCAAAGTGTGGTGGTTTCCCCTCGATAACTTACTGTCGTAATAGTAGCAGACGCGTTTCCTGCTGTGCGGCTGCATGGACATTTTTACTGGATCCATTTCGTTGAAATTGACAAAACGCTCGGCACGGAATTGAACGGGGACCGCGGAGTGTCGCTGCTCTCACCAACAGACACAGCGTCGCTATAAACGACCGCACGCGCAGGCGTCGAACGCTCGTGTGCGAGTTACGAGCTTGTCGCGAAGAGAGCGCTGCGGCACCGCCGGCCATAAACATCGTGTTACCGAGATCGGAAATTCACGCGCAAAAAATCACGGAAACTAAACTGGACGTAAAACGGACGTCTTCCGGTAGAAAATGTAACGTGAAAATATCAGGCGATTCAACTGACAAATCTTTTCCAGACCACGCGAAAAGCTGTTGCACCGAACGATTTAATTCGACCGAAATATATTAAAAATCTATCGTTCACATTACTTACGTTAAATTTTGGACAACAACGGTCACTCCATTGAACTTTTATCTACCTTTCCGCGAATCAACGAATATGGAAAACTAGACGAGAACACTCCGTCGAATATACTCGCTATTCTCGTAACACCAACGAAGAATCTGCCCGTAAAGGATGAAACAGGGGCGAACAGACTTTTAATAAAACTAAGGAATTATTTTAAAACGTGACATAGCAAAGGATCTTTAATATACAAATTACATAATTACAAAAATATAAAATATTACAAATTACATGTACAAAAATACAAATTACATATTCCTTACATATACCGCGGAGCTTTTCAGAATGACGTCTTCCATCGTGCATCTGATTTTGATAAACGCTCTCTTAAATTCTAAACCGCAACCTTTGGACAAACGAAAATCGACCAATATGTTTCCGTCCATTTCTATGAAGTTTACTTTAAAGACCAGAGACATTTTACGTCGGTCTACGGTCAATATCGTCACCTGTAAATATATGTGGTTACATTGTGATGTTCACTACCCGTGATGAAAATCCATAGCGCATGACATACAAGTTTTCATGACATATGCTATAAATTTGTAATGCATTGGTAGTAAATATCACATCATGGCTTATATCGCCATTCTCTTAAATTGATTTCTATATTACTGTGTGTCTTACCACCCCAGATTCATTAACGCGATAGACGTATTTCTCTCTCTCGCAATATCTTATTAGCCTCTTCGCTATTTCCTCGCATTCTATTTTAACAAAGAATCTCGTCATTCGACGAACTAATCTTTGAAAGGAACTTTGCTGCAAGGGGAATATAAAATGATAAAAATATTTCTTCGAGATAATCGTATGTTATATAACTCAACGTTTATTTAGTAAAAGATATACCTGACTGGGTTGCGTAAACGCCTGTAACTGTGTACCTAATAAAAGATCTTCCACGTGAGCAGGTTGGGAGAATGAAAACGTTGGACGTCTGTCCAAATTGAATTGAATCGTATCGTTATTTTCCATCCCAGGAAATTCGGGCTGGGACAAGCAGACATTTCTTAGACTTTCATCCTCTACCTGATTCAAGTGATTCCGTCCGTCCACTTGATCTGCAAATTAGAAAATATTTTGTATCTGTAAAATATAATACTTATTCAAATGCAAGAGTTTGCACAAAACTATCGTCACTTAGCTAATCACTAAATCTACACGAAACTTCGCAAATATTTAAACGCATTACGGAAGTATGTGCCAATGCTCTCTGCTTTGGTAATCTAGCTTTATGATACTTAATTAAACTCATAGAGCTGTATTACCAAAGAAGAGGCAAGAGCATTGCTGATGAAAATCGATCTGCTGTGGAACGTCTCCTAAGCCTCATTAACATTAATAAAGCACTCACATAGAAAAAAAGAATAATGAGAATTCGTCGTATGCAGTATCCACTAAATTAGGTACCGAGTTCCCTTGAGTAACTTAATTAATACTCAGAGTCACTCAGTACCTGACTAAGTAAACACTATCAGGGCACCAACAGTGTTACTATAATAATAATAAACAAGATTATATCTTTTGCGAGGTAGGCACTAAGACGTGCCGCTTGTTGATTTTTCGGCGAGAAAAATAACGAGCCAGGATAGACTAGGATTCGAACTTGGGACCTTCGGTTTGTCAAACAACTGTTCTTCCTCCCGAGCTATTCAAGCATCCGAAATTCTCTCGCTTTATTTTACTAAATAAAGAAGAACCAATGGGCAGGTTTTACCATCTCCGATTAATTTAATCGGCTGATTAAGTGTCAATCACGATTGATTATTCTGGTCAATTCTAATGGAACACTGAAATTTAATCGGAGATGGCGAAACCAACCCTACATCTTCCATGCGGTATTAGAAAACGTGGGGGATACCTATACTATGATACAGAAGATAACATTAAACCAACGTTTCTAAATCGACCTAAAATGCTGTTTTACCTTTGCTGAAACTTGTGGCAAACCACCTATGTCGTTTAATGTCCGACATTTTGTATCTCGCTGATGACGAGTCGACGAGAATCTTTCTTATCAACGACAATGATGAATTGTCCAGTTTCTTCCATGGCGTAAGAGACATATATGTCCCAGCTTTCCACGCGACATATTCGGGACACTCTGCCAGGGGTTGGTCCCATGGCAGTTCTATATTTCAGACATGGACCAGTTAAAAACTAAGGAATCCACAAGTCATGCATTAGATATTTCAATAAATTTCAAATCGAAATGCACACTGACTCGCTGTGTGTACTTGTAATCAACTGGCAAGTACTTATTAAGGTAAGATTAACAGATCGACAGTATACATTTACAAGAGATGTTAAAGCAACGATTCTTTCTTTCGTATCTCATGTATGCACAGGGAGGGGGGCCATTTACCTCCAGCCAACAAAGCCACGAGAATAATTCCACAGGACCATATGTCCGCAGGTTCCGCGTGATACGCCCTCACCAGCACCTCTGGCGCCACGTAAGGCAACGTTCCGCACTTCTTTTCCAAGAGACGCTCTTTACCTTGGATCCGGTACATGGTTGCTAGGCCGAAGTCACTTATCTTTAAATTGTCATTGTTATCGAGGAGCAAATTCTCCGGCTTGAGATCTCGGTGCGCGACCCCACGACTATGCAGATACTCCACTCCGGAGATCAATTGTCTGAAATGCTTTTGGGCACCCCACATCGGCATACCGATATCAGGTTCTGTAAAGAGTTTGAAACTTAATTCCACGTTCTTTCATACCCTCCCGCGCCTCTGTGCTGTTCCACGAGTTTCAGGCAAATCTCACCGATTCTGTCAAACAGCTCTCCGCCCGAGGCGTATTCCAGAAATATATATTCCATGTTGGGCTCGCTGCGTTGCCCGAAATATTGTACAATATTAGGATTCGACAGTATGCGATGAATAGTGGTTTCCTTGCGGACCGTCTGCCTCGCGTCCGGATGTTTCTCTATGTCAACCATTTTCATAGCAACGGCTTCGCCTGTAGATTTATTCACAACTAGTTTAACCCTGCGCAAACAACATTAAATTACAATTGTAATCGGAAAATGTGCACTCAAGTATTTCCCACAACACAAATTCCCCGAATGGTAAGAGAAAATTTATCTGTGAAAAATTGTGGCGCGAAACTAATCGGACCTCTCGTGCTGGGAACGTACGTGTCCCGAACAATGGGAACAATGGGGTCTCGCGAGTCACGGCCGAATATCCGCCGAATATCCGCCGAGCGCGAACGCGGACGCGCCGCCCGTTAAACGGGGGGGAGAAGTGAGAGAAAGACGTACTCGCCGTAGGCACCCTCGCCCAGGGTGTGCCCCAGGAACCAGCCGTCCACGAACTCCGTCATCATTCCGGCATGCCTCCGTTCGGACGTGACGATGGAATATTCTCGACGCCTTATCGCGCGCTCTGGAAACAGTATCGCGCGTTTCCGCGTGTTAAAACGACGGCGTGCCGTCGCGGGCGACGAGGAGGGACCGCGATCCCCCGGCGCCGTCTCGCCGAACGGGATATATATACTTACGCGCGGTGCCGATCCGGTCGTAACGGTCGACGGGATTATTCAAGCACGTGGTTACGGCGGGTTACATGGAGGAGCTCGTCGCGCCACACTCCTCGCTCCCTCTCTCGACTTCTCGCGCTGTCTCTCTCTCGCTCTTTCGACGAAAGCCGGCACGCGGCGCGAAAAGGATATCGTTGGCGCCGCGGGCTTGACGCGAGGGCCACAGCGACGATAATCCGCGAGACGACACGCGGCACGTTCAACGGTGGACCGAACGCACGGGGCCGCCGTCCGACGCATCTCCTCGAGGGACCCACGAAAATTTTCGCGAGGGCCGCGCGAGAGAGAAAACGAGGGGAGGAAAGAGAGAGAGAAAGCGACGGGAAGAGCGCAGGCGCGGACTCGAGATGCCTTAAGCCGGCTTTACAGTCGAAGCTTCATGTATTATGTAGGATTCACATCGCGTCAAACGTTAATATGCAAGTTGATTGGCTGCACTTTTCTCGGAACTTGGACACAGTTCTATAGGTTTGTTTTTGTTCCTGCACTGGTGAACTAGTGCAATAAATTAGAATAAGACAAGTATATATTTTCTCATTTTAGCTTACTGCACTAGTTTACCAGTGCAGGGACAGAAAACAAATCTTGTAGCGTTTTCGATTTTCTGACTCGACCCGACCCCGAGTCAGAAAAGTTTGATCAAAAGCAAGATTTGAACCACAATTTCTACAAAAATCTTACTCTTGATCAAACTTTTCTGACTCGGAGTCGGGTCGAGTCAGCAAATCGAAAACGCTATTAGTTTTGAAAAATGTGCAGCCAATCAACTTGCATCTCTTAAGCCTCGTGTCCACGTTCCAAGAACTGTGTCCAAGTTCTAGTTTCGAGAAATATGTAGCCAATTAACCTGCAGCTATTCCATAAAAGCTGCACGTTGATTGGCCACACGTTTCCCGGAACTACAATTTGGACCAAGTTCTTGAATCATGGACACAAGGCTTTAAGGCCTATGTTCACGATGCTAGAACTTGATCCAAATTCTAGTTCCGAGAAACGTATAGCCAATCAACTCGCAGCTATTCCATAAAAGCTGCAACTTGATTGGCTACACATTTCTCGAAACTAGAACTTGGACCAAGTTCTAGCATCGTGGATACAGGCCTTTAAAGGCCTAAAGGCCTGTGTCCACGATGCTAGAACTTTGTCTTTCTCATTATGCAAAATCGAATTCTTTCATTGAACATATTAAACGTCATACACGTGCATACACGTACCGGTAAAGCCTACCACACAATGCCAGGCAACAGGCAATAGGAATAGGGAATAGAATTTTGACGCGTTGGATTCGTTGGAAATTTTCTACCAATCAATCCAACGCGTCAGAAATTCTATTCCCTGTTCCTGTTGCCTGGCAATGGCTGTGTTCTCCAGAAGTTAGCTCTTAATAAGCGCTTTATGCTGATTGGATAGATCTAGAAGAATAGCTCTATTTCAGCACAGATCTGAAAGTATAATCCAATGAACGCAAAGCGCTTAGCAAGCGCTAACTTCTGGAGAACACAGGCATTGTGTGCTAGGCTTTAGCGTCTCATGCGGATATCGAGCTGCGGGTTGCACTCTCGTGCACTCCCGCGCGAAAAGTGCTGGCAACGGGCGACGACGGAGGTGATTGGAAGCGTATCAAAGCGTATCGTCGCGAAGCTTTTCGTCACGGGGGAGATTCGCAATCGAAAGATTCGCGCGGCTAGGTAAAGATATTCGATTCAGCTCTACAACACCGTCCTGTATCGTCATGAAATATGTTTCCCGTTCGATATAGCAATGGGGATGCGCCTGCATTGATTAATCGTGCGCCGTGATACGCGCCTACGTATACACGTACGCACCTACGCACAATACACGCGCCATTCGCTGGACGTTGCGGGACCTGTGACTGCGAGAGGGAGCTGTCGCAACCTACGCTCCCTCCCGAATTAAATCCCGAGGAGCCCCAACGCGACGGTCGGAATAGCAAACGAAGAGAAGAGAGGAAGGAGTAGGGGAAGGAGAGCCGTGCGAGGGGACTGGAGTAAAAAAAGAGAGAAAGAGACCCTTGTAGAGAAAAAAAAAGAGAGAGAGGGATCGTTGACGTTCGAGTAAAGCGGCGCCATTGGGAGAATCCGGATCACACAGGCACGTTCGCACATATGTAAAGCAAAGACGCTGGCCCGGGGGCATTTTAAAACGAAAGGGAAATTCTTTCCTTTTCTGATATTTAGAATCGTCCCGGGGGGGGAGAGGAAGCGGTGTCGCAGCCCCGCGACGGATTCGGATTCCAGTTCTGGTCGCCGCACGTCCACCGCTCCTGGTCGCGCCTCTTCGGCTCGCGAGTGCGGGAGTGAGCGCGACGCGATAGGAGTCATCGCCGTCGGCCGTCGGCACGGCGCGGCGCGATGCTCGCGGGAGCGTAGGGACGGGGAGGACCGGGGAGACAGAGACAGGGCGAGAGAGAGAAAAGCGGAGTGCGAGGGAAAGGGCGCACGCGCGAGAGCGAGCGAGCGAGCGAGAGAGCAGGATAGGCGGCCGGGGAGAAGTGAGAGAGAAAGAGGGAGAAAGTGAGTGAACGAGGGAGAGGGAGAGCGAGGCGAAGGATCCGCGGATGCGGCGGGGTGTCTGCGCCCGTGCGTGAATCACGCTTCAGAAACGCTCTCGCTCACGCTCTCTCTCTCTCTCTCTCTTCGCTCGCTCGCCGTCGCCGCCGTCGTCGTCGTCGTCCCCGAGTGCGCCCCGCGACATTGACCCGCGTATCGTGTTGTGTCGTGTCGTGTCGCCGCCGGACGCCACTATCGACGGACAGCCAGCAGCAGCAGCAGCGGCCACCCCGATCGAGCGCGAGGGAAGGACGGCGGCGTCTCGCGGCGCCGATCGAGGAGAGCGGCACCCACGAGGAGGCCACCGGAGTCGCCCGCGATCCTCGCTCCGAACCCCCCCGATCGCCATGGCTCGTCCCGCAACCGGTACCCGGTGTTCTGTGACGGAGGGTGTCCTCGCGGCGCGGTGAGAGAGGACCTCCAGCCTGCGACTCTCTCTGCCTGCCGGGTGCGCTTCCCCAGGAAGCTCGCTGTTGTCGCCGGGACCCGGCCAGCGACGTCGCCGTCGTCGCCGTCGCCGTCGCCGTCGTCGCCGTCGTCGACGCTGACGTTGACGCGGGGCCGGAGGTATCTCCCGTCTTCGAGGTGGTGCCGCGAGTGAAAGTCGCGGGAGAAACGGCGAGGCGCGATAAGTATATATAGAGACGTGCACGCGTTGACGAGACGCGGCTTGGAGTAAAGGCGCAGAGACGCAGCAACGGAGGATAGACTGGCAACAAAGGACCAGAAGCGGATACAACATGTCAGATGAGGAAGACAAACCCCCCGCACCCCCTGTTCGATTGACATCAAACAGGTACGTGTTTGTTATTTACTCTAGGCTGATCCGGCTGATTGATCTCCGATCGGGTCTCGTGACAGAATCATTCGGATGCTGCATTCGGAGCGACCTTGCTTACGTTTCCGCGGGAGTCGTGCCACCGAGCTTACACCCGTGTAAGATATTTATATATGTAAAATTTCTGCCTCACGTGCAAAGAAAAATTGTCAAAACAGCAGTCGATTTCGCAGCGTCGTTCATGTCCCTCGCAAAATTATCGCGTTCAGCATTTTGTGACGAGTGGAAGTGCGCGCGGACGATTGAAACGGAAATAATTCACGCCCGGCACGTAATCCACGGTTGAGTAATAGCTCAAGTTGCCGCGAGTTTGCTGTTTTTTCATACATAAAAGTCTGTGTATTCTCCAAAAATAGAGAGGCACTGAGCTATGGGCCGCTAAAAATAATATCCCTCGGTGGCTTTCTGTTGTGGGAGAGACCATCATTAAAGATGTCTAGACGTAATCCCGGCGTTGCCCTGACAGATTTGAGAGACCGGCGTGCTGTCAGGACGTCTAAATATATCTACGTGTAGTCCGAGTTTCATGTGCGCTCCGTGATGGCAGCGAAAGTATCCTTGACCCTTAACAGAATAGTAATGCAATTGGACAATCATTGCTCCGATCATGTCTCGATTGACCTAAGTACTAATGCTGTTTGCGCTTGCAGGGGGGAATCAGCGCCTAATCTACCGGTGGACATGCGTCCGCTGCCTAAGGAGCCGGATTCCGACGAACGCAAGAAGAAGACCCTCAAGAGTAAGATGAAGGTGAAGGAGAACAAGGACAAGCCCAACATCAGCTACCCCACGAACTTCGAGCACACCGTGCACGTCGGGTTCGATGCCGTGACCGGTGAATTCACGGTAGGTTCTCCTGGACTCGCGGTCTTGCACAGTCGCCTCTCTACACCTACTAATCAGAGTGCACTCGCTTAACGCTTCGCTGTTGTATCACGGTGCGGATTATCTATGGGAGAGAGAGACGGTGGGGAGAAGAAATGAGTTTTACATTACCGTAGATCGCCATTGGCACCCGTATTACGTATCGCAATTACTCTGTATTCTCTCATGTCAATACATTACGTGTCACATGGATCCTCCGTGCCTGATCGAAATGAAATACGAGACACTGATTCGCATCGAAACATTTCGAGAACGGTATACCTTGGTACTCTGTCCGACGCTTCTTATACCTTATTATTTCCACATGACTAAACTAACAAGACACGTTATTTCTTTCCAAGCTGCCACTGAAAGTAAGTAAATAAATATGAATTGGTTTGCGCCTGTACTTTATGTTGTACATACATTTACACCAGAGCGGTGCGACACTTTCCTTCCGTTGCGGTTTTCATAGGATCTAGACGTTTATTTTCCAAGTTTTAGGTATATCGAGTTTACATAGATACATTTATAGTCGCTTTTGTAGATTGATATAAGCTTTAGTCGACGTTGCATACAACAGTATTCGTTTCTTTCTTACAGAATGATTTCCGACGGTGGATGGGAGTTATATAAAACTTTGTATATATTCCGTTTACAAATTATTTTAACTTTAAACGTTGTGGAGACCACACCGTGCATGTGTTCAGATAGTAATTTTAGAAGATTAACTCGATGACTTTTGATTGAATCTTTAACATTTCGTAGTTTTTCCACACACATATACACATTAAGGGGAGTTTGATGTCAAAGATATTCCATGTGTCTTTTTATACAAGAATGTGATGTAAATTCATAAAAGGGAGCTATACCAAATGTTGTTCGCAAGGATTAAACATTAATTTTCTAAATGATTGAACAAATGTAGATTTGATCATGTCGCGATTTGAATCTCCTACAAATAACATATAGAAATGTTTCTCGACCCATACTCTTGTACGTGTGATAGTTGCATGTTCGAAGATCAAATCTAGAATTAGTACGTTAGATGCATTTTACATAAACTAGTTATATTTGCCCAATTATCTCATCCGTGTTTCGTGGTAAACATGACAATCGTTTAACAGTACATGTTTGTTTCCTAGGGTATGCCGGAGGCGTGGGCGAGATTACTTATGTCCAGCAATATTAGCAAGCAGGAACAGAAGAAAAATCCGCAAGCTGTGTTGGATGTACTGAATTGGTACGACAGTAGCAGTAAGGAAGCAAAAGGCTCTAAGTACATGACCACAACCAAGATGGTTGGAGTCGTCGGTGAGTACCGATATCAATTAGCTCGTACAGAGAAACAACTCTGACTCTAATAATCGCCGTACGTAATGCGACAATGCCCCCTCAGCTCCGATCGAAAGGGCGAGTAGTCCGCGAAGCATAGGAATGAGCATCGGCACGGGAGTGGGAAACATTCGCGGCCAGGCGATGTCCCAGGCATCCGGCAGCTCTCATTCCCAGCATTCGTTGAGCAGGTGAGTCTTTTGCACTTTTACGCGCCCCGCTCGTCCCTCGGTCGCCTAAATATTTTCTGAGAAACGGCAACGTTACAGAGTGAGCAGCAGTAGCCCGAGTAGCACGCCGACGGACGCGTGTGCGACCAGCTCGGAGCAGGAAGACGAGCCGCCACCTCCGCCGATCTCCGCCCGACCGGAACGCACGAAATCGATCGTAAGTTCTTTTCTCGATTAAGAAATGCTCGTTCGATCGATCCGTTATCCGTAACATTTTACTAAGTATCCTTTTACTTTCACCGTGCAGTACACAAAGCCCATAGAAGAGGAACCACCGCCTCCCCTGACGACCACGCTGGGCTCGCCACAACGAAATGGCATGCAGCAACAGCAGCACCAGTCGCAGTTGGATAGAAATAAGAATCAAGCAACGCCGACGTCAACAACGACCGATCAGACGCGACCGGCGCAAGGCGATAAGGCCAGAAAGAAGAAGATGTCGGACGATGAGATCTTAGAGAAGCTTAGAACAATCGTGAGCGTGGGAGATCCTAATAGAAAATATACGAAAATGGAGAAGATAGGGCAGGGGTAAGCGGGAGACCAATAAGCGACTTTTTCACGTCGAATATAAAACTGTACTAATCAACGATCATCTTTCAGGGCCTCGGGGACAGTGTATACAGCAATAGAAACGTCCACTGGCATGGAAGTTGCAATAAAACAAATGAATCTGTCGCAACAGCCAAAGAAAGAGCTTATAATAAACGAGATTCTGGTGATGCGGGAGAACAAGCATCCGAACGTTGTAAATTACTTGGATAGTTATTTAGTTGGGGAAGAACTGTGGGTAGTCATGGAATATTTGCCAGGTGGCAGTTTAACGGATGTTGTGACTGAGACTTGTATGGACGAAGGTCAGATCGCCGCTGTGTGCAGAGAAGTGCTGCAGGCGCTCGAGTTCCTTCACTGTAATCAAGTTATACACAGGGACATCAAGTCCGACAATATTTTGTTGGGTCTCGACGGCGGGGTGAAGTTGACGGATTTTGGCTTTTGCGCGCAAATCTCGCCGGAACAGAGCAAGCGAACGACGATGGTCGGCACGCCGTATTGGATGGCGCCGGAAGTGGTAACGCGAAAGCAATACGGACCTAAGGTAGATACGCGTGTCGCACTGTTGGCCATCAAAATAAATACAATACGTACCGTACGATTAATCGTAACAATGCACCTCGGTGTTGCAGGTTGATATATGGTCGTTGGGAATAATGGCAATCGAGATGATCGAAGGGGAGCCACCGTATTTGAATGAAAATCCGCTCAGAGCATTGTACTTGATTGCGACGAACGGCAAACCGGAGATCAAGGAGAAGGACAAGCTGTCGGGTATATTCCAAGACTTCCTGGACCAGTGTTTAGAGGTCGAGGTGGAAAAACGGTCCGCGGCTTCCGAGCTATTAAAGGTAAGAAGAATTACTGACACGTAGAACGCCCGTTCTCGGTATATACGCGTACTTCTCTCATTCAAATTGATTTAACTGGAAATGTGTGTTTAAATTGAATTTGCAGCATCCCTTTCTGAAATTAGCTAGGCCACTGGCTTCGTTAACACCTTTGATAATGGCAGCGAAGGAAGCTGCCAAAGGTCATTAAGAGACAGTGGCAGTTAGATTGTAGATTCGTAAGACGCGACTCCAAGAGTTCGGTTATGCGAAATAAAAAGAAGGAAATAATGAATCACCCTCCCAAAACGGAAACGGCACAATAATTCAATAATATATAATAAATAATGAATATAAACGTATATATATATAAATATATATATATAAATGAATAAATATACATATATATATGTATGCATACATATGTGTATATCGTATGTGAATATTATATTATATGCGACATGTCGTATGTACATGTATACACATACGCATGCATATATCCATTACGTACGCATATAGATCATATAGATAGATAGATAGATAGAACTTATTCGATACCGTGATGAAGTGTCGAAGAAACGATTGCAAAGTTTTTAAAAAAAGAAAGAAATGCTCGATTCTCGCACGTTGCGAGCGCGAACACAAAGTTAAATCAGAAAGAGCTATGCGCGATCTGACGGCGGAGGCCTTGTTTTCCTCGATAAAGTCCATAGTTACAATTGGGCGCAACGGACTCACAAACGTCTTACGTCTTAGTTTTTGAAGGAAATAGAAAAAGAAAGAGAAAATGTGGAATGCGTATGCGCTTTACCGTACGTGCTGTTGCCTGTGACGTGCTCTTGCTGCAATTCGGATGGACCGTCATCGAGGAAACGCAAGCAATCAGTCAGTTGTCAGTTATTTTCTAAAAATATAAAACTAGTATTACTAACTCTAAAAGAAAGAAGAAAATTCGAAGGATTGGAGTTAGCAAAAAAAAAAACGCATATTATTTATAGCGAGAACCTTATTAGATAATACCACAAAGAAATGTGAACAAGTATACATAGGACCTATTCTAATATATTATTATTGTTTAATGAGAGATCGTAGAGAGGAAGAAGGGAGGTTGGTCTTCGTGTCGGACTTGTATTTTTCGACGGAAGTTACGATGAAGCAGAGCAATATGTTTTCAGTGTGTTTTGTCTGATTAGTGCGACGATAGATGTGTAAGCGGTAGCCTAATTTGTTTTAAACTCGACTTAAAAAAAAATCGCGTTCTGATCGCTGAACACTTTGATTCAGTTGATTCAGTTTTTTTTACACTAAGAAGAAACTGTTTTAGCAAATTTTCTTGTTTACAAATATCGCAATTCTTCATGTTAGTGTTCAATGTAAAGAAATTGGTTCACACGTGCTCTAGCCGATTGCGTAAGAAATGCATATCTCGTTTGAGGCCGCTAATTTAGAGCTTTACGACGAAGAGATGAGTATGTTCCCTCATTTGTATCGTTAAAGAGAAAGGGAGAGAAAGAAAGACACGTTAAGACATTGAACTTACCATGGTTTACTACTTAGTCGATAAGAACATCTTTCTGAGGACAACGCTTGTCCACATCACGTGTGTTCTTCGCTGTAAGTGCAACGTAACTGTCTAACGTGTCTTGCAGAAAGGGGGAGAGAGAGAGAGGAAAGAACGGGAGATCAATGAAACCATAAAACAAGGTTCAGACGTAGGAGCATTTTGTGACACTATAAAGTGCCTGTCTTGTCGTTTAGAGACGTGAAAAAAAAGAAAACTCGCGCTAGATTTCTTATGAACCACTGTATAACGATATGTAATATTTCGTTTTAGCATCGTGAGGAGGAAGAAACAAATAATCGAATACGCATATAATGAAGTTTAGTTGACGTTTTTTGTAGAACGAATTGTGGTTCCGTATGGTTGTATTTGCATCGAACATTATCGAGATACGTCTTTCCTAATATTGTATTATACGTCATCCAAGTGTCATCGTGTCATCGAAAAATGAATATATCGGAATATATTTAGTTCTTTTAGGCGGTATCATGACTGGTAGATTTTCGTATCGTCTTTTTTTTATATTCTTTTCATTTTCGTACGTCGTATCCATTATTCGACCAGAATATCCACTGCGCGAAACTAAAAATATTTGAGGAAAGTGTAGAGAATGACCCTGTGATTAAAAATGAGAGGTAAAAAGAACGAGCTGACGCCAGCTAATTAGCAGAATATTTCAGTATTTTTAACGTTCTTGTGCGTATTTTTAACGTTGGTGTGCGAAATGTAGACAGAAACTGAAAAACTCTTGACTTACCTCATACATTGTCCAGTCTGTAATTACAATCGTATATGCTTTAATAGTATCTTATTTTTCATTTTATAATTCTATTATTTTAAATAATAGAATAGATTGTATTATCTTAAATAATAGAATCATCTGTTATTTACATACTTAATAATTTCTACTTATTTTAGACTGTTGTATATTCGACAGATTAACCATGGAATATTAAAAAAGAATCCTACAGGAGCTGAAAAATTCACAAAAGTGATATATATTATATTATTATTGTGTCTACAGAAACGAAAAATTCAAATAGAAAATTATATGAGTAAATAAGTTTTAAAAAAAATTCGTGTTCCAAGATCTGCGAATTGCATTAGCTTGTATTAGCTTGTCTTTTTTATCTCAAATGTAAGAATTTAGAATGTTGCGTGAGAAAGAGCTATTCGCGAATGGCAGGAAAAAGAGATACGTCGAGACTGAGAAAAGAAACATGTAGATAAATATTCCGGACAAATAATTTAAATCAATATTCCGCATTGCGATGTTCCTTTTCCCTTCCTTCGAGAGCTCGCGAGTGGCACGTAATCTCCCCAGACTTCCGGTTTCCGCGCGGTGGATGGGTAGCTCGGTCGACGAGACTTTTCGTTATACATATATGTATAGGACTCATATATAAATTAATATTAACTCAAACCTTGTGAGAATATAAATATGATAGTTATAAATCGAGAAATTAACGATACACTTATATTGCGTACGAAACAAGAAGAAGAAAAGAAGGAAACCCGTATATTATTTGATAACGAGAAATCGTAAAATAAGATACATTCAATATTCGACGAGTTTTTATTGTTTTCTTCTCCTTCTTTTTTGTAGTATCATCTTTTGAAAAAAGCCTGATTAGATTTTTATAGTGTCTGTACTTGATTGAGATAGGGAGAAGAAGCAGCTCAGTTTGTATCAATGTTTACGACCGAATTTAAGGCTGGTATACTGAAGGGACTTAATGCAATGTATCTTTAAAAGAATCAGGGACTACGTGTAATAGAGTATACAAAGTAAATTCGTGCTCTCGAAGTATTTCGCGAACGTGTAATTCCGAACGCTCGGCATTAATCTCCGCTTCGGCATCCGTCTCTAAAATCGGTCGGACTGTGACAAGTTAAGAGACAAAGTAACGTGCGCACGTCTTAGTATTAACGAAAAGTATGAGTGTGTAAAAAAAAGATAATGGTGCGATCCAGGGTTAAAGTTGACGATCAGAAACACTAAAGACGCGGGGTCCTGCATTTTCACAAATATCTCGGAGCGCTAGAGAGAGCTTTGTCTTTCTGTTACTGTTTTTCGCGGCAGTTATTTTAACAGTAGTACAGCTATTAGCAGCTATTAATTTTTTTTCCTTTGCGAATCGGGTCGCGCGAGAGATGCAAAACTGCCTGCATGAAAAATTATCACCCGATCGACAACCCGATTGAAGCGCATCTTAGCACGTAGACACGTTCGCTGGGTTATTCGGTACTGTTGTATTAAGAGGAACATGTGATAATTGTATTAAGTGTTTCTGCAAATTGAAATAACACGTTGGTAATTGATCCGCATTAATCCAAGTTGGAAGACTGCTCTATTTCTAAGTTGCACACAATTATGCTCGTACACTTGTTAAACGGTTAAGATGGAATATTGTAAAATTTTATTTAAATTGCCATCACTTGCAGTATTATGAACAGTACAGTTCTCTGTTATTTCCGTAAATAGCTGTAACGCTTCCATTGTTAGATTCGAAGGGGAATTGACCAGGATTGTCACAATTCGCCATAACGGTACCGGATGACCCCTTTATCGCGTGAATAAAAGTACAAAAATTGTACCGGACATGCCTTATCGTATTAATAATAAGTGATGCACCACGAAAGTACTCATTATTTTTGACATTGACAAACGAGAATCGCAAACGTATAGAAAAATGTACGAGAGCTCTGTGAAGAAAAAAGAAACGGGCAGGCGAATTTTTTAACGTATAACGAGAAAATGCGGGCAACTTTGCATCCGTTTGTGCAGCCATGTCTTGATGATCGTTCCAACTGCATTTAATTAGCTACGTGCGCTACTGTGTGTATTTTATCGTCATTTTAGGTTCTTCAAAATAGGTTCCTAATATGCGAATCATGTTAAATGTGTGTATGCATGTTTTGCTGTAGCATTTTACGATGTTTTTGAAAATGCTTTGTGATCTCCGAGTGAAAGAAAGAAGTAGGCCTATAGTAACAAAGTCGCTATTTTACTGCAGAGATTGAAAAAAAAAGAAAATCTTCGATTTTGATCCTTCCTCGACGCGGGGGGAGGTTCATCCGACTTTAACTTTTGTAAGAAAAAAAAAGAGCATTTATCGCTATCGGAAGCCATTCGACAGAAATCTGGACCCTCAGGAAGAATGTAACATGTGAAATTTTTACGACGAAAATTTCAAGGCGAGGGAATGCAAAAAAGAAAAAAAACAGGAAGGGAGTAATGAATTGTAAAAATAATGCCTAGAATTTTGCGTATATATTGTATTATAACACCTTTCAGTTTGTTTTGAAACGTTACAATATAAGGAAACATTTTATAACAAACTTGTCAGCTTCGTATAAAATATTCTTCCCTGCCGAACAGTATTGAAGAGGAATAGGAAATGATGACTACCACATTTTATTCCTCATTTAATATATTATTAAGTTAGAATAGGTGGTATTTACACGTTATGGCGTTTATTGAAAAAATAACATCTCTCGGTTAGACAATTCTATCATCCGTCCGGTATCGCGCGTTTTCGCACACCACGTGGTACACATACATCCCGTGTGGGTGGTTACACTTTGTCCGTTGATACGGAAATGTACATTTGTAATATCGAAAGTAGGCGGTGTACAATGTGATTCGAGGGAACCGATAGCACGGAGTTCTCGTCGCAAGTGAAAAGTCGGTCGGAAACGCTCTATATTCACGTCAACGGTACATTTCTTTAACTTGCGACGGAGACTCCAATGTAAAAAGGAGTATACGCGAGTACGTTCGAGACTCGTACACAATTAACATCTACTATCGTCATACTATCGATCCAATGTAGTAAATGACGTAAAAACGCTTGTTAACAGCACATCGTCGGTGGTGATAAAATATTAAATATTCCCTATAATAGTAACAGATTCACTTTACAGACAGCCCGTTTGGTATTTCGACCGATATTTTTACTTACTATCTCTCTTTACAACGCATAAATAATAAAAACGGAGGTATTTTAATATCCATAGTACGAGATGTGACTCCTCCTTCGAGACTCGTTATATAAAAATTAGGTAAAAGGATGCAATAGACGCACGCTGCCCGGTTTTACGAGGACGTTTTCTCCTCCCCCGCCGGATGGAAGCTTATCGAGGCAGAGTTGATGCAGAAGCGCTTCCTCATCGGCTTCGGCCCGTCGTTGAACACGTGGCCCAGGTGCGCGTCGCATTTGGAACAGGTCACCTCGGTCCGCACCATATCTGGGTTTGCGATCAGCAGTAGTAGATTGCCGCCGACTAGTTGCGCGCCGTTTAATTCGATGCGACGCGCGGTTTTCAGCGGTGGTGTTGTTTTTTTGTTTTTTTTTCAGTGATGAGAGTGAAGAGGTGGTTCAGTGGCGGTAGTAGAGCCAGGAGGATCAGGGAGGGCGAGCAAGGAGAGAAAGAACAATAGAGTGTGATTAGACGCAGACCGACACCCATTTCTCGCGCGACGCAATTTTCAAAGAGGTAAAACAGAAGCGATCCAAGAGATCGAGGAAAGAAAGTCGAACTAAAGATTGATCCGATCGTGTGGAGGACAGCTAACATCCAACATGATACTAAAAGAATACTGACAGAGAAAGGCGTACATACATGAAACGGTTCTGTTCAATATATACATTTTTATATACATCTGACTTTCTGCCCGTTGCTCATCGCTAATCTCTGGACTTCCAATTCAATCGTTCGCTTACTATCGCGTTACGCAATCGTGTACTTTATATTCATTTGTGACTGAAGTACTTTTGCAAATCGCGCATATTTACTTTTATACTTACGTTATTACGGAGATATTGTAAGTTTTAGCTGTGAGCGTTGAAACACACTTGCAAGTGATTAAATATCTCAATCGGCAGCGACAACGTAAAAGCGAAGGAATTTTATTTGCCGCGAAGAGACACACTTTTAACGAGCGATATGCGTTAAGGGCTTGCAACTAAAGACGAGGAATTGCTCTTGGAAATGAACGTTACGTTTATCGAGCAATCGTCAACACTTTACACCCGTCTAAGTACTAAAAGACACAGCGGACACTCTTGATCGTATTTCCAATGTTTCATCATGTACGGCTAGCATTAGTTTAATACCAAAAACGTGATGTAAGTCTAACACAATCACACTCTAAGCAAGTACATGCAGGAGAATCGAAGGGGTACAGGAATTTTCGTTCAATATACGCAACAGTATATTTACAATAGAAGAAGATTGGTAGACGAACGCTACAATAGGTCCTGTTGGTTTTTTTTAAGTTTATTTAAAAAGATTCCCCTTTAAACAGGTATCTACGCGAGGAGGTTTCTACATTTGTAAAAGCGAAACGGACGCGAGGAGCGAGCGATAATCTTCGCTACGAATTCAGTCCCGTGGAAAGTTTAATCTCGCGAGAAACTGAGAATACAAGGAGGCTTCTACTGCGGAAAGGGCGAAGTGTGGCCGGGATAGGTACGGTGATGTTATGCGAGTGTGCGATTATAATACACGCTGCGATTGCGATCTTGTGAGTAGCGAGCGGGTGCAACGTTGAAAACGGAGGCACTCACTCGCGAGAGGCACGGGTTTGCTTATTTGAGGGTCGTTCCGAGCGGTTCCGGTGCACCCGCGCGCTATCGTGCAACGTTTAGGCCCGGTCTACAATGAGTTGTTAGTCGTTAGTCAGAAGTCGGAACTATATGTCGGTCCTTTTTCTTTCCACCCAGAAAGGAAAAGGATCAACATATAGTTGCGACTTCTGACTAACGACTCATTGTAGACCGGGCCTTAAGCCCGATCTACGATGCGATCTTCGCGACATTCTATTTTGTGTATGCAAATCGATACGCTTAAAAGAATTTCTCGACGATACACGATTGTACAATGCATAACGTGCGGTTTATAAATTTGCACAATTTTTTCTTAACACAGAGGGGAAGTCTCCCGTTATCAGGCAGGCTCCTAATATAAGACAGCGGGTTTTCAACATCAAACTTTACAAGTCTTTCTTGCACGACGTGGTAATGAATCTTTCCACCAAATGGATTGCTCCAAGGGCAATAAATTCATGGTGCCAGCCCGGATAGTCTCCAAATCCGTCGGGACGGACTTCGTCAAATGCCCACTAGAAATTTTGAAGGCAGAATGACTGCAGATCGCATGCGGGAATTGAGATATTCGACGTGTTGCCGGCGTGTCGGCAGAAATACAACCAAATCTGCTCGCACCTGGCCGGACCTGCTCGGTTTCTGTTAACAGCGTATACGTTTTACAGACTCTGTTGCGAAAACAAAAGCCAAATGCGGACACAGATGGCTGTGGTTTTGACGCGGGTTTCTGACGAATCCGCTACCAGTCCGTTAACATTTTGCTGACCGGGAGATGACGCCTACTAAGTTGGCGAACGCTCCGCTGTTTCATATTAAAAGCCTTTCTCGTATTACGACTCTTCTCTACTTATTGGCTACAAAATAGAATGTTTCAAGAGCACATTGGAGTAAAGTAGAGACCCTGTAATCAGAGACTGGCCACAAGAGTTCATAGGCTATCTCACTCGTAGGAATTTGACGAACTCTTTACGGCCAGTCTCTGATTACAGGGTCTCTGGAGTAGAGCAGACCTTAAGATGAACATGAGGTGTGAATCAGAGAGAAAGAGAGAGAGCGAGAGAGAAAAAGAGAGAGCCAGTCTAACTGGGAGCGCGGGCAATAATCACGAGAGAGATGCGAATCGAGGCGGCGATCGCTTACCATGAGTGGTGTCTTTGGTCAGCTTGACGCGTCCCTGATCCAGAACCTCGTTGAACGCGGGCCAGCCGCATCCGCTGTCGTACTTGGTGTCCGAGGCGAATAGCTCCTGGTCGCACACGATGCAGGTGTACGTCCCCTTTTCGTAGAACTTGTTGTAGCAACCGGTGAACGGCCTGTGTGTCAAACAGAACGGGTGAGTCAGGGGCGGGCGCGCCGGCCGACACAGGGGATGGAAAGGTGGGCGCGAACCGTGACACGTATACCCTATTTTTAAACCCACTGGCCGCGCGAGGCCAGCGCGGAGAGCCGGGCCGCTCTTGAAAAAAGTTATTTCGGTTGTTTCTCGTCCAATTGAGACGCGCGTGGCCTCGCGGTCTCGTCCTCACAATTGCGTGTCGCCGTTGCGATCTCGCGCGCGAGATCCACGCCGGGAAGAGAGATCTGTGCATATTATTCCCGCGTATTTTTAGCGAGTGGGATTCTCACGCGGTGCGCCTCGAAACGCCGAGCGGCGAGGTCGCGTAAATCTGGAGCAGACAGCGCATAACGTCCGTCTGTGTCATCAATATAATTAGCGCAATTCGACCCGTGCCCGTCGCGCGTTATCGCCACATTGCGCAATCTCCACGTTGCGCGATCGCTCGTCACAAAATCAGCTGGGCAGGCCCGCGACGTCCCGTCGAGACCTCGCGGGACCGAGCGCGGTAAACAAGCTGCTCGGGGAGTGGGGGGGGGGGGGCAGCAGCTTGCGGTTGACAAACGAAAGCTCCGCTTCGCGAGGGACCTCCTCGAGGAGGAGCGGAGCTTGGCGGTTGACAAGCGGAAGCTCCGCTTCGCGAGGGACCTCCTCGAGGAGGAGCGGCGTCGAGGGGCGCCAAACTGAAGGTTCGAAACCGAACGAGGCCCCGAGATCCTCCTCGATCTCGCTCCTATCGTCCCGTCGTCGTTGCCGCGAGCGAGCACGTGGGGAAACGTCGTTGGCGAGGACGCGCCGGCATCGGCGCAGCTGGTCTAGTTTCGCGGCCCTCACCTTTCCGTGCCCTTCTCCTGCGTCACATGCCACTGCAGCGGCGTCAGGCGCTTCCGCGCCTCCTCCTTGTCGACCGCCGTCGTCATCCTCCTGATCGTGCCGAGCGCGTGCCGCAGAATCTTGACGAAGCCGGGGACGGACTCGACGCAGGGACACGAACCTCCTCGCCACGCGGCCGCCAACCGGAATTCTTTACGCGCTCTCCCCCACGTCGAACGTTCTGGACAGGCTCGTGGACGCGCGCGCGCACGCTTATCGGCCAACCTCGCCGCACTGAACCGGACTGAACCGCGCCGCGCGCCGCCGAGGCCCGAGAGCCGAGCCGCGGTGCGACGCGACGCGACGCCGCGAAGCGATGCAAACTTGGGCACTCCAGCGCCGTCGATGTGCTGGACACGGTGCTCTCACGCACACCAAGCGCCCAACCGTGTGCGTGTGAGCTCCGCGCTTTAATTATTTCTCTAATGCCTGAGACATTTGGCTACGTTCAGCAGAAAAAGCTGTTTTGCAACTGTTGCAAAATTCGTGAATCTGATGTAAAACTTCGGATCTTATTGTTTCGTAACATATATGTATAATACATAATTTATATTTCAATTCTTGTTGAAACAATCTTTGAATCAAGCCTAACGAACCAGCATACAGAGATAGAACAGCGAACCCGCCGGCCCGCGTCATACGCGGTCGCGCCGCTTCTGCCACAGATGCTTTGCCTCGAGGTGCGTGTCTGGACTAAATATATCCGATCTTATCGACAGAATTGCCTACATTTAGTCTGGACTCACACCGAACGGCAACATTTGTCGATAACATCGAATATATTCAGTCCAGAATCGCACCTGATGGGGGCACAGCTGTCGGTAAGAGGCGAAGCGTGCGGTGATCTCGACTGCACCCGGGCCTTCGACGATCCGTCCATCGACCTGTGCGGCTGCCGTCTGCGGCGAGGCTCGCGTGCGCCGCTCTTATAAGGGCCAGCCGAGAGCCAGCGTCAACCAATCGGAGCTCGACGAAGCGGCGCGCTGCGTTCATTGGCTCGTGCGCTGGTGGTGGGGAGCCGGGGTATATAAGCGGCATGCAAGGGAACCACGCAGTGCTTCTGTCGTCAGCGTTGGGACTCGCATGCTCCGTTCTTGAAAGGTCCAGCCGAGAGCCAGCGTCGACCAATCGGCGCTCGACGAAGCGGCGCGGCTGCATTCATTGGCTGGCGCGCTGGCGGCGTCCGAGAGCCAGCGCCGACCAATCGGCGCTCGACGCAGCGGCGCTCCGCATTCATTGGCTGGCGCGCTAGTGGTGGGGAGCCGAGGTATATAAGCGGCATGCAAGGGAGCCGCGCAGTTATACCGAGAGCGTTCGTCGGCGGTTGAGGCTGCGTCACGTCGCGCGAGAAGCGCAACCGCAACCTCGCCCGAGATCCTTCCTCCAAGGCCTAAGGCCTCGATGAAAGTTCCCGGCGTGTAACTTTGCTAGGAAAGCTGCTTGCAAAGAGATTTTTCTGCCCCTTCCTGGCACATCCTCCTTCCTGTCTCAAGATTCCTATGGCTGTAAGATCTTCCTTTGCAAGGTACCGAGCCTCTGGCAGGCCAGAAGTTTTGTAGAATTCAGCGTGGCGTTCTCGTCGTCCGACTTCGACCTCCACTCGAGTGGATCGTTTCTCACGTCCGGCAGTCGAGATTCGATGTGTCTCCAGTGGCGGGGACTGACCTTTTTTGTAACCTTAACTACGTCCCGACGGCGACATACGGCGTATTGTATAACTGGCTTGAGAAAGTAAGTCGCCGCCGGTCAATTACGAACCGTTCGGTCGTTCAATCATTGCCGATGCGAGGATTGAAAGAAATGAATCAAAGCTGCGCGATCGATATAGGAAATGACGCGAAAGAAATCGTCTATACGGACATGCGATCGAAATGTAATCATTTTGAAAGAAATTGCAAGATAAAGGGTGACTGGAATTGTCCATCAAACATTATACTTAAACAATGGGACATCGTTGAAAGCCGTCGTTTTATAATAAAAAATCAAATCGCGATTGTTTTCTCTCTATAGCCACGAAATTAATATCGAAGTTAACGCTTGAAGCGACGCGTTCTATCCTCGACAAGATCGTCCCCGGTAAAACATTCTTGATGCATAAACAAATAAATATACGGCATACGAGGAGGAAAAGTAGCTCTCGTATTTCGCCCGCGAGCTTCTAGAGAACTGCGACTCGCGGCCGTTGGCAGCCGTGCGCCCGCGGCGCGGGCGGCGGCAACTTGACAACGTACTTTCAACCGACGTGCGGAACGTCGCGCCCCGGGAAGGAAACGGAGCTACCGACGTCGCGCTCGCGTAGCCGCTCGGAAGATACCGCGGACGGGGACGTGAAACGGGCGAAACGTTGGCCCCGCGAATGACGGGGCCCCGCGCCGCGATTTTCAAATCACCGGGTACGCCTAAGCGGCGATGACGCGACGGCTCGCGTCGACGGCTGGCGCGCGCGCGATTGGTCGGCCGGCGCGGCGGGGCGCGCGAGCGCCGCGGTCGGCACGCTCGGCACCGAGAGCGCGGCCGCCATCTTGGCAGACAGAAGGAGCCTGCTGTCGCCGTCGGCCGCCCGACGTACCCGCCGTGTCCAGCTGAGCCGTCGAAGCTGAGCGCGAGCTGTGCCTGGCTCACGGCTGCTGGGTGGAACGCCGGAGAGGAGGATCGCGCGCGGCGGCCCGACTATCGTTCGCGCGACGCGAACGCCAGGAACCGGCCGAGGAGGAGGCGGTGGCGGCGGAGGCGAGGAGAGAGAGAGAGAGAGAGGCGCCGGGGGACCGGAAAGGCAGCCGCGCGCGGCGGCCCGAGTATAATATCGGGGTGAGCGGGACGTCACGGACGCCTCGCGCGGTAGCGCCCGGTCTCGGCTGTCGTGCTCCGCGCCGCGCCGTGTCGTGACGTGACCGTGAGCGTGTTCGTGTCGTGGTGTCGTGAAGTTAGCCGGAGTGCCCGTATACCCCGTCCGTCCGTCCGCGTCGCGCCAAGGACGGCGCTCGCCTCTCGTCCGGGGTCTCCCGCGTCATCGCCGTCGTCGTCCCTCGCGTTCGTCCTCGCGCGGCCTTCTCGTCGTTCGTTCCACCGGCGCACCGGGGCTGCAGGAGAGACAGAGACAGAGAGAGAGAGACCCCGACCCTCGCGCGCGGATCCGCCGGGCGGGCATCGTCGAGGGAGGAATTTCGCCGTGAACGTCGTCGACTGCTGGCTCGACTCGTGACAGCGGGACAGTATGGCGGGACAGACGATCAACGACAGGCTGCTGGCCGCGAGGCACAGCATCGCCGGCCAGGGCCTCGCCAAGTCCGTCTGCAAGGCCACCACGGAGGAGATGATCGGCCCCAAGAAGAAGCATCTCGACTGTGAGTAAAGAGAGAGTGAAAGTTGCGGCCCCCCCCCGCTCCCCCCTCGTGTCGCTCCTTTCTCCGTGAATCTCGTCGACTCGCGGTTCCTCCTGGCGTTCGCGTCGTCGAGGAAACTGCTAGAGGGGGTTAGAGGGGCGAAAACCGAAGGGACCCCTCGTTTTCGAGCGGGGTGTCGCCTGCACCGACTCCGGGCGACTCGGCGTTTCGCGGCTCCGTCCGTCGACTCGCGGCGAGGGAGAAGAAACCCACCGCGCAGGGTGAGAGCCGCTCGCCGCCGAAGGCAGGCGAGCGAGCGACTCTCGTCCCGACTCTCTCTCCCTCCGCGCGCGGATCTCGGGGCGGGCACGTCGGTTTCGAGCGAAAACCGACCGTCGGTTCCTCGCTCGACTCCCCCTTTCCTCACGTTGACGCGCACACGTTGACGACGTGGCGATCGAAATCGATTCTCTCTCGAGCGCGCGCGCGCGCGCTCTTTCTCTCTCTCTCTCACTCTCTCTCTTTCTCCGCCGAACGTGATCTCGGCGTTCCGCGAAACGCGAAGGGCCAGGAACGCTTGCCCGAGTCGACAATGGAGCTTCTGGAGGGTATAATAATAGTAATCGCGCGGTGTCCCCCCCCCCTTCCCCGAG